TTCTACTCCAGAAAGGTATAGTTACCCAGCATAGTGTCATATCTGCTAGACCCATGTGACCTTCTGGCCTCTCAAACAGCCTAAGGAATGGAAAAATGAATACAGACCTAGGTGTCTACATTTGATCAGATGAAACCCATTCACACAGTCTGTCTGAACAACCGTGGGTTCAGACACAAATTTCAAGTCCTGTTGGGAAGGACTTGATATATGAAGCACTTACTATGTCTGGTTTATGCAAAAAATATAACCTGCTGAGGAAATAGGTTTTTTCAATGAGAAGAGAGAACAAGAGAGATCCATCTCCCTGCCCTGGCAGAAAGGAGGGTAATGAGGAAGCATAAAAGCTCTTTTACACCTTTCCAGTGTCTGCCTTATTTAGGGGCACAAGGAGGCACAGATCACATCTGCTCCTCAACAGTGTGGATTGGTGATTTATGGTGCAAGCACACTTGCAGCATGATCCACATCAACATGTGCTCCAAGAAGGGCTGCACAAACACCAAAGTTGGTTTGTACAAGTCCCTCATAATTGTCATGTGTGAGTATCTCAGAATACTTAATGGGCTTATTTTTACAACACTTCCATGAGATAAGAAACTATCCATGAGATGACTCCATGTTTTGCTGTCTCTTTTATTACAGTCATCTATTGCTGCAAAATTGTCAGAGATACCAGCACAAGGCCTGAAAACAGAAATGCTCCAAGTATTCAAGAAATTGCCTGAACACTTGAACTGTTCAAGAGAGGACCTCTGAGCAGATTGACATTTTAGAGAAAAATTAACAAAAAAAGCAAAGCAAAACACTACATCACATCATGCTCCATGTTATGAAATACTTTATGCTACATTTTAAAAAAATAAGAAAAGAAAAATCACCTTTGAACTTTGTATTGATTTCAACACTTTTAGTTTTAAAACTTGGAAAAAATCTTTATTTAGAAGTCAACATGAACAGCTAGAAAAATTCATAATGAATCAGAAAAGATTAGCAAAGTTTATGTATTTGTTTGCATAACTATTTTTTTGGACAGGTGGATTTACGAATTACAAGAGAAGAGGGATCAATCGACATTTGTAATCTTTCTCAATTTTAGCAAGCATTAAAATTAAAACTGTGATCGTATTGATTAGAACATCAGACTCAATTGCAGTATGATAATTGTGGCTAATGCTAAACAAATACACTAGCCACTAAAAGTGAGGGAGCAATTAATCTCTTATTCTGTTTGTACACTGATTTGCGCAGCCTCTGTCCCTCACTACCCTCACTACCGACTGACAGACAGCTTTCTCATCAGGGAACTGGAAGTGCAGTTTTGGTTTTTTTGTTTTGTTTTTTTTTAGCTGAATTTGGAACCAACACCAAAGACAGGCTAGAAAGGACCCTAAGTATATGCATGATTTTACTTCAGATCTGAGGAGTACAGACTCAGTGTGATGACACAAGGATATCACACACTGGCAGAGCAAAAGGGATGTTCTGCTGTTGCTTGTAGGAATCTACTGAGGTAAATTAGCTACTGAAAGCCTTGATTTTTCCCTGAGTGGATCAAAACTTGCTGAAAAATGAGAGGACATAAGTGGAAGTTACCTGAACTCAAATTCAATAGTTAAGAACAAAAAAAATTTTTCTGTTAATTCACTGTAATAGTCATGAGTACAAGATTTCCTGTAATAATTATCAATGACCACTAGTAAGCATTTAATAATAATTAAAAAAGACCCACTACTAAAAATTATCAATAAAACTTTTTAAAAAATGAGATTTGACATTGTCGGATAACAAAAAGGTATTTTGGTTTGGCTACCTATAAAAATAGCCACAAGATCAGACATAAAAGAGGTCTGTGTATAGACAGCACTATTTGAGTTAATTAAGTCCTTTTTTCTCCACTTCTCAAATTCTGATGCCTCGTGATTTAGAGATACCAGAAGGGATATGAATATATTTATTGCATTCTTTTAAAAATCATTCTTTTCAGGTATCTTTATGTTATTCAGCTAGATATAGAAGCCTACCATTATCTCACAACAAGGGATGAATGCTTTTGGAAAAAGAGTCACTATTTGAAAGACAAAATATAACTTCAGAATTAGCAGACATATAGCTATACACCTATTAATACACATCTGTCTATAGGCAGCATGATTTTGAACACTTACTAACAAAATCAAAAAATATTAAAAGTTTTCCTTATCACACTGAGTAATTTTTTTGTTTTGTTACTGAAAATTTTTAACATTTTGTCCAAGTATCGAACAGAATATCATCTCGGCTCCAACCTATAATTTATTTATTGTCCTAGATATCACTGAATGCATCACTGAATGCAGCACTTGCATGTCAAATTCAGAGTAGAATAGTGTGATACAATGCAAATATTTCTGCCCTAAAAGCCAAATAGCATAATTCAGTTACACAGAAAGGTAAATGAGAATTGCAGAGAAGTCTTACTGGGTCTAAGGTTACATAACTTTTCATAGAAGCAGGTAGCCATATCACAAACTACTCATGATTCATTATAACTCTTTTTAGGGCTTCTGTTTTAAGATTTTTTGCCTTTACCACTCCTACTAGTAGGCTGTTCCAGAAACTCTCTATTTTGGTAGTTAGACATCTTTCAATCTCCAGCATCAGTTTATTCATTGCCAGATTACACTGCCCTATGCTTTCTTTTCTCCCATAACCCAAGTGAAGACCATGAAACTAGCCAAATAAATAAAGCAAATTGGAAGTTTTTTAAAGAACTTATCCTTAAACCCAATGGCTAGACATTAAAATATTTCCTAGGCAGTGAATACATATTCAAAAGATTTTTGACAGACTACTGGTGATTGGGCTCATGCCAAAACACAAGAAGAAAGACCTAATGTTTAATATTGTGAGGGTGAAAACTTTGTAAATACAACCTCACAAAAATGAAAAGCAAAAAAACAAACTTTTTATTAATTTAATTTGAACAGTACCATGCCTGTTAACAAAAGATAATCATAGCAAGCACTTTGAAACACATTTCTTATTACCACATAAGATGCGTTCCACAGAGTTATTAAATCATTTGTATAACACTGTATGCAGATAAACCTTCTGGCATATCCAAGATCATAAATTCACCTAATTACTGCTGCATTAAGCCTCAGCAATTTCAAATGGCTAATACACATCCCCAAGGGTGGCACACAACCTTGATCAGAAATGTCAGGAAAAGGGGAATACAGCACTGGTCTTAGATGTTTGCTCAAGCAGTTAAACTAAAAAAGTACCTTAATTTTATTTTGAATGGTCTCATCTCAATTCACAGCTTAAAAATTAAAAGAACACTATTTCCATAGCAACTTCTATGTCTAGGTGATTCTTTGAATCCTCCTGCAGTACAATACCTGACTGTAGAACATTTTCTGCCCGTGTATTTATTTCAACTTCACAAACTCACTACTCCACTGTTTACATACATAAGGTTCCTTACACACTTTTCACCATAGGTTTGCATGGGACACTCATGTAAAAAAAAATCATTTAATTGAGCACAAAGTGCAGTTTAACTTTCAAGTCACTGGTAATCATTCAAGATCACTATGCTCTGATGTGTACTCATTCTTCCAGGAACTATTGTATTTGGTTGCACTAAAAAGAATTTTGTTTGAATCAACTCAGTTTACAGATCACTGTAATGGGTACAATTTAGCATAACCATTATCTATGATTTCACCAGTCTTTATTCTACCTGCTCCCCAAAACTGCCCAATCTGTTGCAAAAAAGTGCAATCATTTTGTTTTCTAGGACCAGATTTTACTACCAGATTCTCAGTCTGGCTGAGTTAGACTTCAGAACATACGTTGCTGTTCATGGCAACATGTTATACTGTGCAAATAAGTCTAGCAGAGTCTGGCCCTAAACACGGAAAAAATTACTTGCTTTTATATTTTCAGAATTGTTACACTTCTAACAAATTCAGCTGTATATCTTGTATATCTCAAATCAACAAAGAATGACAGAGTTCAGAAAAAAAATACATTTTACTGCTCACTTTGATTCACTGAAACCCAATATAATAAGCTGTAGCAAAACTATGCTATAAACGCTGCACAAAACATTAACAGAGTGGGTATAGGTATGTATGATTTTTATTTTTTTAGAAGCCATAATTCTATCAATTTCTGCCACTTACTTCAAAAAGATATGAAAAAAATACATTTTTTTCACAATTGACAATAAATATTTAAACCACAGAAATTTATTTCCCCCTTTCAAAAATACTTTTGTCTTTCTATTCCAGACCAAAAAGAGAAAACATGAACCAACCTCCTACTGAAAGACACAAATATTAAAAACCCCACTGAACAAACCTATTTTTTGAAAAGCAGCATGCCAGGTTTACAGTTAATATATATCACCCTCCAAAGAAAAATGCATCTTAATATACACACAGCTCTTTGGATAGCTCAGGAAGGTGGTTACTGACTGAAATACTGTCACTGAGTCAACTCTAACACTTTGATTAGGAAGGATATAGTGCTCCTGAACAACTTCCTATGTAAGCCACTTCTCACACTGCAAAGGAAGACAGAGGAGAAAAATACTCTTACTACCACCTAAGAGCTGAACAAACAACCACTCACGCTGAAAAATGTGAGATGGTGGAAGTCTTTTTACTACACTTCAGACGGTATTATAATACATTACAACACTGAGGTCATTTGCCATTCTTTAATCAATTATGATTTCATGTTTTCCCAGGAAATATTTATACTCATTATCTGATGGGTTTTTTAAACGGGTTTTCAAAATTTACAGCTTAGAGTCACAGTGGGCTGTGAATTACAGTTTGTTTTATTATACTCTGTTTCTTATGGTCTAGATATCATCGATGATTCAGTTAAATCACATGCTCCTTTACACAAAAAAGCAAATATTAGGGCATAACAGATTTCTACATTCCAATTTTCTCAGATCATCTGCTTAAATAAGAAATAAAAAATTCTGTAGCATTTACCTGTAGAAGGCTGGAGGAGCAGCTTCCCTCATCCCAAAGCTGCCCTGATCATTTTCAAGGTAATAGGGTACCTGTTGGCTGTGATGATGGATGAAGGGCGACAGCTGGGGTGCCGTTTGCAAGAACACCACCGGGCTTGGTGGGACACTGTTCAGGGAGTGAAATCCTGCCAGACTGCTGGACCCAAAAGATTCAGACGTAGGAGCATAACTGAGCGTGGTAGAGCTGTAGACGGGAGCCGTAGTACCAAAATCATAGGTGGCTCCTTCTGGGTAGTTAAAAACTCCTGTCTTGGTGGTCTCCACGTACATGTCGCTGAGAGATCTTTCCAGGGGAATCTTCAGCTGAGGTCTGCTCAGTGTCTCCAGTTCAGTGCCTTGAATCTGGTGCAGCAGGGTAACTCCAGAGGTTTTGGTGTGAAGGGTCATGGTCAGTACTAGTGGCAGTGAGCAAGGAACATATCTGCTTTTACTGTCAACAGCGAGATCGGCAGCTGGCAGTCCACCTAAAAAAAATACCAGAACCTATTCTGAGGCTCAGCAGAAGTCACAATAAAGCAGCATTACACAGGTATTCCTCTAATCTCGGCAAGGAGGAGGATACAAACAAATGCAGACTGAGCACTGAAAACACACATTCTCTCTCTCTCTTCTTCCCTCCCTCTCCCTCTCTCTAACTTTTAGGAACTCCTCATCTGCGCTAATATGCATTACAAGGTGCTGGCTGTGAGCCAGGAGCCCTTGCCTTGTGCCGACGTTGGTTTAAACATCACTTCAGAAACAATTAGTTTTGGAGTTATACCAAAGAATTGTTCGTCTAAATGTTACTTCATTCTTACTGATCATTTAATTTTTCACTTCTGGGTACAGTGCCTTGCAGCAACATAAGGGAAAGAACATTTAAATCCAACCAGGAAGACTAGTCCAGTGGTCAGTCAGATTACTGCCTTTTATTTCCTCAGCAGGCTCCAATCTATCTGTGCTTATCTCTCCTCCTGTTTGATTCATTTTCGTGTTTGTTAGAAATATGTAATGTGTACATTGTACTGACCCTGGGCAGGACTGTGCTGTAACCAAGATAGGGCAAAGCAGAATGTGTGTGTGTGTGTGTGTGTGTGTGCAAGCATGCGTCCGTGTGTCTGTCTCCCTGTGTGTCTCTGCATGTTTGTGTGTCCGGGTGTGTAGGGAGCAAACCCCAGTCAATAAATCCAGCTAATAAAATTAAAGTGTGCATGATACCTATGCAGAAGAGAAGATTTATAATATACTTTCATCAGCCACAGCAACTTGTAGTTATTAGAGTACTATAATAACATTAAAAAGCAAGGAAAAGCTTTAGACTAGCCTAGAAAATTATGCTTCCTTCTTTTTATGCTGTAAAATGATGAAATAAGCAACATCCACATTTTGCCACAGTTAGGAGATGGTTATTTGATTGCATGATATATATATATTGAATACAGTCTTTCTAGTCTTGTGAAAAAATCCTAGCAAACTTGAATTTTGAAATCAGACTAAAAAAATCAAATAATCTAAAATAATCAAATGGGATCGGTTTAAAAAAAACCTGACACGCCTCTCAAGGTTATATTTAGAAAGGAAAAAAAGGAAAAGAGAGAACATAATGAAAAGGTGTGGCATGCATGCTTCTTCTTGCAATCTCATTCCATATAATTTTAACTTCGCACAAACCAGTTCCCCTGAGCGAGCTAAATGAAAACCTCCAGAAACTGCTTCAAGCTCTCCAGCGTCATTGCTGTGGTCTGTGGCTCAGTCAATGAAATGCCAACCCTAAATTCATTAATATATGGGCTCCAGCTAGTGTGTTTGAATACTAGCAAAACCTATGCTATACTTAAACAACTCCATAGTTATTTGGCTCAACCTTCAAAAAAACCCAAGAAACTGAAAAACTGAATATGCAGGTCACTAGAAGTGTCAAGAAAAGTTTACTAAAACCAGTTTTATTTTAGAAATAATGCAATGCTTTCAGAACTTCTACTAAAATAGCCAGTTTTCTATATTTCCAAGAATATTCTGAAGCAATATATGTTTTTACCTTCGCAGGCACAGAGCTGAGACATCAGCACACGCATAACTATGTACTTGATATATTTCCTCACCCACCCCGCCACCCTCCCTATCCTGTTCAAATTTCAGATTGTAGACTTTGATCAAAGAGATAAGCTTGTTTAAATAACACTGGACTAAACATGTTCCCAGTTAAAAAAATAATAATCAGACGACCATACCCGGCAGTTCAGAAAGTCTTCGAAGAGTTGTGCTGAAAGTATGCCAGACAGTGTGAGAGGAAAAAAAAAAGAGTGTGTGCATGTTCTCTTAGAGTGGGCGACCGTGCATCTGCAGAGACTCACAAAGCAGCAAGCAAGCACAGCTCTCAGCAGCCAGGCTGCAGGGCTGCACGGGCTGAAATGAATGGCAGGTACAAGTTTAAGCCAGTCGCCTTTGCACATTTCATTTTGTGCTTTGAAATACATAGAAAAGGCATCATCTCTTATTAAGCTGCGTAATCTGAGAATTAATGTGAATCTACCTGCCATAAAAAGTATCCACTTCTATAGTGTGCTACAAAATGGACTTTGAATCTAAAGCATTATCCAGTATGTATGCTCTGTCTAATATATTGATATGAAATAAAATGTTCCAGTGTAATAGCTATGCAAAAGTGAAGACAGCACAGAAAAACCAAGTCAGAAACAAAAAAAAAAAAAAACCAAAAAAAAAAAAACAAAAATACCAGAAAGTGAGCAAACAAAGAGTTGGCTTCTGAATGTGCCCTATGCTTCTTACATGCAATTTTTAAGAACCTCATTCATTATTTTTGGGAGGTGGTGTGTTTCCAGGGAGTCAGATATTTAAAATTTCCATCAGATGTAAATGGCATTGAACATACTGTAGGGTTAACTTGAACCACCATCACTTCTGCTGTGTACCATTTAAATTAGGGCCCCTATGAGCAGCTCTCCACAAGCCTCAGTCTTCCCACTGAAAGAGCTCAGCAATAGACAGCTGCAGTATCCATACAGCACACAGTCTTGTACACATCTTGAGAGAAAAAAAAGTGAGTGCCACAAACAAGATCCTGGGGATTGGCTGAGAACCTCTGTGACAGCATCCTGTAATGTCCGACTTACTTTTCCCATGGAAGAAAAGCAAGAGGGCAAGAAAGGGCCAGGGTGAGGCAGGGGGCGTGTCAAGCCAAATCCCATGAAGAAGCTGAATTTTTGATTTTTGTACACTGAAAAAAATCAGGCTCTGATTCTGCTTACTATACATGGGGTTTTTAGATACAAAGAAACTATGAAATGCAAAAAGTTACTAGAGGGTTGTTTTCTTTCTTGTCCTACCTGGTAAGTAATGTGCTGCTTGCTCCAAGGTAACAAACACTGCTACTTCACTGCTACTTCACCCTGCTTTAGAGCTGGCATTAGGTGCACCCAGCTGTGGACTCGCCTCTCATAAAAATGACATCAAGGTTTCTAAAACCTGGTATTTTTGCTTAAAGGTCGGGACTTACCTCACAACTCACTTTAATCTGGTCTATTACATGTCAGACTTTACATGCTCTAGAATATGGAAATATTGGAGTATGGGAAAGGGTACAGGATCTAGCAATGATATTTAGCGCTGTTTAGCAAAACAGTTATACAAAGACTTGGTTTTTCTAAATCCCACATCATGTATGCCTTTAACACTATGCAGATCTCATACAGAAGGACTTGCCTCAAAAAACTCTGGGTTTTTTGTTTTAAATTACATGTAGTAACAAGCGAGAGTAAATAAAAACATGAATTGGCTGCAGCACCTTCCTTTCCAGTGCTAGACAGATGTGTTCAAAATGGGGAAATCTACATTCTCAAATCTAGTAATCTCCCAACTATTGTGTATTCAGCTGCAGCCAAGCTGCCCTATATATTTCACCTTAATGATGGTCTAATATTGTTTTGGAGTTGCTGAGCATATACTACAGGAGATACACAGATATACAAAAATAGAGAGGAAATGGTTTGACAAAATCTGAAGATTTGCTAACTTGAGATCAGGTATAGATTGGGGGTTTTGCTATATTTCTGAAGTTTGGGAATATAACAAATAACATTTGGCTTTGATCCATCCAGATTTATGACTGCACAAGAAGGAAAGAAGGCAGCATTTAGTGAATACTGAAGAAGTAGGAGGGACTAGTCCATTGTGACTGAGTTAGCATTGAGACATGTTAGCAAAGAAGGTCAAAGCACAAACTGCACCTTCATACAGAGGCATTTTTAATGAGAATTAGTTGGGATTACACAGTGAGGACTCAGGCACTACCCTTCTCATGGAAATGAGAAATTAATAGTTTAGGTAAATGAAAGTGGCTGATTAAATCCTGTGTTCCCCTCCTAAAAATTTCAGCCTGTTTGCCTTTTATAGATAGGCCAGAGTTCCAGTGCTCAACTCAGATTTTCCAGACTGGGGAATTTACTCTGATTACACTAACAAAATATAAAATGCAGATACAATAAAACTAAATCACATTTCTGCTGCTCTGTGGTTAAACTAGCATCATTTACAACTAAAAAATATTTAGGTATGTTTCGAAAGGCAAATTCTTACTATTTTGATTAATTGATGAATAGTTTGCATCCAATTTTTTTTTTTAATTTGTTGACAAATGACAACCGTGATCAGATTAAGTTAGCAGACTGTGCATACTGCAGTTTGGCTCAACTGGATCATCAGTCGAACACTTCTAAACTGGAACATAGCTTAAAAAAACCCCAAAAGTAGCTTTCTTCCACTGATGGCATATATTGTGGAACCAGTGAAGTGATCTCAGAAACAGAAAAAAGAAAACAGATAATTAAAAAATTTAGAAGATATTTTTTTAACTTCTCTAAATAACTGGAAGTTTGAGAATTTTCAGTGCCATTAACATCAATAATTTTCTACTGACTACAAGTCCTGAAAGGCAGTCAAAGAATGGTAACAAAATAAGTTCATTTTATAGGATTTAAAAACAAAAAAATTAAAAGAAAAAGGAACAGCCTGAACATATTTTTGCATTTTGGACAAGATAAAACATAAGTTTGAGGGAAAATGAGATAAACTAAAAAATACTATATGAAGTATAGCACGCAAAAGTATATACTCAAAGTATATACATACATTTCTAGGTATAAATTAAATATATAAATATACACAAAGGCTATTAAATTTATAGGAAAATTTAAAGACAGAAAAACTCCATTCTATAACAGGCATTTTTCAGCACTAGTTTTATTAAGTATTGCAACAAAAAAATGGTAAACTCAGAGCACATACGATAAATTTTCCATAAACCTGCTGTCAGTGAAAGACCATAAACTTTGTCGCTTTAGTTCCACAGCTATAAAGATAGAAGTTTTTTTTTAGCTGCTGCAATTAAAGAAGAATCTATTGTACATAACAGGAGGAACATTATGTTTTTCCAAGATTCCACAGTAACATTACAGAGAAATTATGT